AGGAGCCCTCAGGACAGGAGCTGCCCTCAGTGGGACAGGAGGAGCCCTCAGGACAGGAGCTGCCCTCAGAGTGGGACAGAAGGAGCCCTCAGGACAGGAGCTGCCCTCAGAGCGGGCAGGAGCAGGGATCCGTCGTCCTAAACCCGCGTTCCCTTGAGCTGCTGTCCTGGTCTGCCCCCGTGCTTACAGGCCCCTGCCTAAAGGTACTGAATGAAGTACAACTCCAAACGCCTGCAGCAAAGTCTCCGTTTCCTTCCCTTTTTGTGGTAAGATATTTGAAGAACTTCTTTGTCAAACTCCTCTGTAAGAACTTACTTCCATTTAATCTGTATTTGTCATAAAACACTGACTGTGGGCAGCTCAGTGAAAAAGATTACCCTGTGTAGAAGTTGAACTACCACTTTGGTAGTTTGGAATTTTAGTTGTTCACTCGTAATAATCTACATCAGTAGATCAAAAATCCACTCAAATTAATCTAAATCAGCAGTAGTGATAAAAACAATGGAGGCTGTTATCACAAAGTAAATTATGCCTTATCTCTTCAGGTAGTATTAGTATCTCAAAGTTATGATTCATCACTTAAACTTTATTACTAATAATGAGTACATAAGGCTTATGCCTACAAGCTGCTGGAAGTCCCACACACAACAGGGCTATTGGAGGGGAAATTCAATCCCTACTTGGAAATGTCTGCAATTCTGTGAAGCAGTGGGCAAAGCACAGGATCTATAAAACATAGCACTTTTGTGAATAGTTTGGTTTGCATGCATTTTAATTACAGCACATTAGGGTGGGATTTAGAAGTGAAAAATGCAGCAAGGAGGTGAGACATGGAAAAGGTTTTGCTCAGCCTTTCCCTCCTCAGTCAGAGAATTGAACTGCGCAGACTGGTGCAGCATAAGAGGCAAAGCAGATGTCTAGATTTCATCGAGGCTCTGTGACCTTGCCAGGTTTACTTTTTGGTCAGTGACCATTTCACAATAAGGAAGCTTTGGGGTTGCCAGTGCAGCAGCTGACTGCAGAATTGCTGGGGTCACAAGTGTTTCACTCAGCTGCACTCCAAACACCACATATAACATTTCTGACAGTGTTCCCTTCTGCTTGGGAGTTCAAATATTAGTACTGCTATCCATCATTTTGCTAAGGACCTCCTCATCCATGGGAAGGATCCTGCCAAAAGGAGTGTGGCAGGAGGTGACAGGAGCACTGGAGGAGTGACAGCACGTCAGGAGTTCAGTACACAGAGGCAGGTTTACAGCACTACAAACATACATACGTTTGTAAATGGTCACAAATTTCAGTAGGGCAATTAAACAGAAGATCCCAGGTTTATAAACGAAACATTTCAGAGCAGTTAAACAAGGTTTAAACAACTATAAAAATATATTAAATAGGAAAGCTTTGGACAATTTAATTGCCCAAGTGTACTGGAGAGCGAAGTGTGTTCCCTATTTAATCACTGCATTTGATCAGTCTGTGTAACATACCAAGATTTATTAGGTCTTCAGCAAGCCAACAGTTTTTGTATCTGATGTTTTCCATTCCAGAGACAGTGAGATCCAGTACCTACTGTGTCTTCAGCTGGCACAAAGCTCGAACAAGAATCCTGGAATGTTCACTTACATGTGAACCAAAGCCAGGACTGCATCCTTGGAATGGGGAAGGTGAGATCCAGGCAGGAGAACTGCAGGAGTGGAGAGCACATGGACAAGCAAGCTGGCCCAGGTACAGTGCAAAGTAGCACAGAAATGCAACTTGAGTGGAACAGAATAGTTCACAACTAGCAGACATGTTGCTGTAAAAGTCCAAACTGAATTTACTAATTCATGAAGTAACAATCACTGAAATTTGCTAATTACCCTCTTTAAAAGCATCAGGAACACCAAGGAATCAGAAAATCCTCTCCTGTGCTGACACACATTCCACTATATCCTACATCATCCTATTTTCAAGAGGCTCTTGATGTTAAAAATTCCTTTGGCAACCCTAGTGTTCCCTACAATTCACTGTTAGAAGATCTGAGTAAGAGCAACCAAGTTTCTGTCCAATTCTGTCTTACCTTTTACATTAAGAAGTTACATGCAGGCATCCTTTGCAGCATTAATGAATTTGGTGATTAACATGCAATGCTGAGTATCAGGAACTGACCAAGTTCCATTTGTTTCCATCTGTTCTTTAATCTGTGAAATCTGCAGGTACTCTTTCTTCCTCCAGCACTTCCACATCCATTAGCCCAGGTTTGGAGGGTCCTTACATACTGCAGTTACATAGCAGCTGTTCAGCTTGGGAAGCAAGACCTTGTCACAAACAGCTTTTCCCTCAAAAAAGTACCACTATGGTATCTTTTCATCTTATTTTCACCATGTTCACTAGGTACATAGATTCATAAAAAAATCCCCAACCTATGAAACAAAAAGCAGTTTCTAAGCAAGTGCTATTTTTAGAAAAGCAGTAAAGCTGGTCTCAGTAATTTTAAGTTATTTTAAGAAACCAGATACAAGACACTTAAAATTGCTTTCCCTGACAGCTGATTTTTCATTTTCAGACCTTGACACAAGTACTAAAACTGAACAGTGGGTGCAAATAAATCATTTTCTCAGGTAATTTTGCAAACTACATCTCAGTGTCACTGTTTTAAGGCTCTCCCTTGAACAGATGATACAATCACCAATCACTACCAACACTACTTTGAGGCTGATACACCAACTCACGTAAATGTGCACAGGCATTGAGAGTGAAAAGAGATACAGTTTTACCTCAGGTGATTCATCAGCTTGTTCACATATTGCAAAATTTATCCTTTAACAAGGGACAATATGGTGTCAGAAATTAATGCTCCAGCTATTTTGTCCAAACTATTACTTCATTGTCTTTTTAACATGTGTATATTTTTCTGGTGTACATTCCAGCCACGAGCCATCTGATGTTTCCCTCTCTGGGATGTGAAATAGCAAACACTGGTGTACCTTTATTGTGGAATTTCTCAGAGCTGCCTTGCTCCCATCCCCTCTACCCCTGAAGTTTCATGGGCCTCATTCCATTTCACTGGCAGCACATGGAGGAGCAGGATGCACCTGCAATCCTGGAGCACATGATACTTCCTTGAGCTGAAGGTTCCAAGCTGGCATGGTTCCCAGAGAACACTTCCCATAACAACTGGCTGTTGTTTTCCAGCTCAGTTTACGAACAGCCAGAGATTCCCCAACACACCCAGCAATGCTACTCTGGAATATCCTGAAACGATTTGTACACTGGGATGGTGGGGAAGGGGAAATTGCCTGCATATTCTAGAAATTAATAAAGAAACTGAAGTGAAAAATATTCAAAATGTACGAATAAACCCTTTCAAGTAAATGAAATTCACGAGTTTATACTTGTTTGGAAGCATTTAACCACAAGTAGCTGGTAATTAGTCCATTACAGGATTTTTTTGTCACAAATAACCATTCAATGAATTTGTATCACATGGTAATTCTAGCCATCATGCTGACCCTTTTGACTCAAAATTGGTTTTTTAAAAGTTAAGGTATATGCCAGTATTTTTAAGCTGAATAGCAGGTATCTATCTCCAAGACAGACTTACCTGTAAAAAACATTCTGAGCTGTATAAACCAGTAAAAGCAAGTGCTCCTTCAACAGTTTAAGTCTGCTCTCAGACAGCCTTTTATAATTTCCTTTCTCATTAAGAAAAATGCCTTTTTTTTTTTGGAAAGGACTCAAACTACTTGAGAAGTTTATTTGAAAGCCAAACGTCTGTCAAATATTAGGCATTTGTAATGTTACTTCTGGTACAAGCTACTGTGTTTTAGAAGTAAAAATTGCAGCTGAAGTTTCAGGAAAAATGTCAGTTTACCACGATTATATAATACCTGACCAGACAACTTGTGATTTGTTTGGTGCTTTAAATACAGGCACTAGATTATGCTGACAGCCATACAAAATGAACTTACACTTTGACCCACAGCAGTAATATTGAGATTGTGAACAGCTACAAAATGCAGCATTTGCATTTCCAGTGCCATACCAAGTTGAATTCAGAACCACCTAAAGACAAAGCAGCAGCTGGTTAAAAAAAGAAAACATAAGTCAAATTATAAAGCTACATAGTTTAGTACATTAAAACAAAACCAAGGACAATGGTATTTGTATAAGATTCCAAAAATATACAGATGGCAGGGGGGGAATAATCACTGTACACAACTCTGAGGTGGTTAAAGTGACCAGAGAGACTGAACAGTGCAAGACATGCTTTTCCAGTTACAAGCTCAAAACAGAAGTGCAAAAGAAATTAAAGCTCTGTCTGAAGTGATTTACCTTTTGGGATAAGGAAAGCTTAGAATATTGTCATCAGTGTTACAGAGAAATTTCCACCCCAACCCCAACACAGACACACAAAATAGTTTAAGTTTTACCATAATACAGCATTTCACTCAAATGATGTCCCCAGAGCTTGGTGACTCCAGGGACAGTCTGCAGGTGTTCGGTGTTGGCCCATGACCCAAGTGATGCACAGGCAGCCTCTCCATCCTCCAGCTTTGGCTAACAATAGATCCCTGCCCTCCAGGCAGGGCGAGTGGCAGCCACACAGCCCGGGCTCAAACGCTCCTGCCTCCCCAGACCGCCTCGCTGCGAGGGAGCCGCTGTGCTGAAAGCAGAGACTGAGTTATGGCTGAGGAACAAAGGAATTGCTTGACAGGTCTCTGTGCTCTCTCCCAGAGTTTGGAACAGTTTCAGGCAAGTGCTTTTGGCAGGCTGACTAAGCTGTACATGCATCTATCCATGCAAATGTAGAATATGGCTCCCAAGACCTAGAACCAGGGTGTGTGCATGTGAAGACTGGATAGAAGGCCCTTCCGTGGAAGTTTACAAAAATATATAACCAATACTGTAGCTTAAGAAGTCAGTTTTACTCGTTACAGAGAACCCCAAAAAGTATTAACTACTTTTCAGACATTCCAGACAAGGTCACTTGTAACAAAAAAGGTCAAGTTCTCAAAAACAAGGTTTTAAAAGCGGATCTTTCCTTCAAGTGAACAGGACATCTGTTTTTACTCTTAACCATTTAGTCAGTTAAGACAATTTATTTAAGATTTCATGTGAACATATGCATAAACACAAATAAGTTTACTTCAAAACACATCTGCACAAAAAAAAAAGGTTAACCCTTCAAAACATAACAGAGCAGGTCTGGTTAGTATGTAGCTATTGCAAATCTTAAAGATTCTGTGCATTAGGCCCACCCATATAGAAAGCAGGGGAAAAGTCAATGAAAGAAAATCACTGTTCAAGTCTAAGTGGTGCTTTGAAGAGCCAGCAGCCTAAGTGACACCATGAAGCTGGTCACAGTATCTGAACAAGCAGGCCTGCTTGGGCTACTAGAGCAGTGTATCCTCCTGAAGGCGCCATTTCCTCCCCAGTTATTTTCTGTTCCGAAGGCGTTTAGATTTCCTAGGACAGTCTGTGGAATCCACCGCCTTCCTCCTTTTCCTGGGAGATTGTTCATTTGAGCCGGAACCTGAAGAATTCCCTACTGTGCTCTCCATCACCTCCCGCAGCTTGCGCTCCAGCTCGGCCAAGCGGGCGTTCTGTTCCCCAATGATTTGGGTTTGCTCAAGCAGTTTCTGGTCTTGATCCTGGAGCTGCTTCTGCTGCTCCTGCACTTTGACGCGCAGCTCCGAGATCTCCCGCTTTAGCGCCGTCAGGCCCGTGCCGTTGGCTTTCACCTGCTGCTGCAGCTTGGTGACTTCCTGCCTGGAAGGGCTCTGCTTGGAGAACAGCTGCATTGTTGTCAGTGCTGCAGAAGGCCCTGGAACTTCAGAGAGAACTGTGATTAATACTCTGCAACTTACGGGTAGAAATGGTCCCAGTGTTTGTATTTGGCTTATCCCTACTCCCCACACATGAATCTGAATACCCATGGCAAGTTATGTGAACAGGCAAACACATTTACAGTCACTTAAGTGTCTAACAAGAACATGTGGTAATCTCAGAGCACAACCAGTTTAATTTAAAATACTTACAGCTTTTCAGTAGTCAGGAAAAAAGTTCCTAATTTATTTTCTGTATATAAGCCCCCCTCCTTTTGCTGCATCAAAAACTGTAGAACTATTGTGTTGTCATCTAGACTTAGTGTCACAGATGTTGAGACAAAATCCCACAAAACATCTCTGAATTACTTAATACGGGATAGTTAAGACTGAATAAATATATTTCATTAGACCAGCAAAATTCTGCTGTCTTAGCTGCAGCTAAAGTTCTAAAAAATTGTAGTTTGGAACTTAACAAGGTATTTCGGTATAACTTACTTTTTAGAAGAAAGGAATTTATTTTCCATGCTTCTTTAGAATCACTCCTCCTAAGCACTAAAACCATACTGGAATCTGAGCTTGGAACTGTTGATTCTAATAAAGTTCCTGCAAATCAAGGAGACTAACAGCTACTGTATAATTTCTTTCACTTTTTCTGCCATAAAAGGTATCTATCACTTTTTCTGTCATTATAGTCTTCTAGCAATGCTGTGCAATTAAGGTGCAACTTTAAGTGCTCTACAGACAGAAGAGTCTGGAACAGTCATCCTCCTTCTCCTCCTTTTTTTCCATTAGGATGGCAGCACAGCTACCATTACAGGACACTAAGGGGTTGCTATTGGAGAGGTTATGCCCTTCCCTCAACAAGAGAGAGGCATTTTATGCACCACAAAGCCTTGGCCTTGAAAAGTTGATTGAAATCAACTGTGGGTTTGGGCAATACTTCCTCAGCTGAGAGGCTCTATACTAACACATACATAGGCTCTATATACTAATACATATTATTTAAAAAAAAAAAGTAAACCCGTATATAAATTTTAAAAAGGTATATAATTATAAAAATTCAAATACAACTAGCAGGATATACTAAAGGTGGCATACACACTTATGGCTAAAAAGATGGACGGGACATACAAGAAACAAAAGCATCTGCAGTTAGGCCTATTGTTTTTACTTAAGATATATTTTCCCCCCCTGGTTTTTACTAAGTTATCCTTCTAGAGAGTTAAATTTTACAGTTCCTAAAATGTGAACACATCCTGTATATGAAAAATTCTACAATTTTACCAATCTTTTACCATTAGGATAACTTCAGCCAAGAGGCAACTACCTTATAGTTTGATTCACAAAAGTTCTGGAAAGTCTGACAGAGTATCCGAAGGACCAGTTTAATGGCTTATTTATAGACTGTTATTTTAATTTCCTTTTCATTATTACCTGTAACTATTTTGCTTGTTAGTGCATAAAATAGTACACCCAGTAAAGTAAAAAAAGCCCATTCCAGCCTTCTATGTACTACCACAGCTTAGTCAAATTCATTTGCAGCTTGTCCTAAAAATAAAAGGCATCGAGTTGTCATCTCATGTGCCAAATTTCAACCAAATGCAGCAATAAAGTCTCATTCATTGGTGGCACAAAAGCATTTGTTTAACGAATACACACTATGCATAATTCTAACATACATTCAAGTGACTGTTCTTTTAGTAGTACAAAGGCTCCTTAAATTTCAAAGCAAACGAATTTCAGTTAGCATTCTTAAGAAACAAGTATCATCAATATTTATGTAATAAAGCTCCCATTTAAGGGAGGGAGCATAGAAAACATACAGTGCTGTGATTTTTTCAAAGAACAACTAAATAAAACTTAACTATATGTTGGAATTAATACCTGGGGCAGTTCCTATTAGACGTCCCGATACATCTGACCCAGGCATCTTTCTTTTCAGTATTGGAACAATCTTCTCATCAAAATATTCCATAGCCATGGAGGAAATGTCCCTTAGTTCTTGAAGAACTTCATGAGCTCTCTGAGGAGCTCTTGTGGAGTTTACATATCTTAGCACTCGATAAATTTCATCTATTACCTAAAACATTTAAGAAGAATTAGGATTTTCTGATAAAGGCAAGATTATTTCAGTTTGTTCTAGGAATTCTGGCATATTTAGGGTTCTTTTTCCACATAACAGTTGCACACCACTGTGTGTTTTAGTTCCAGATCAGCTTTTTGAAGTGTTGCTCATGATGTATCAGAGAAGCTATTCATTTAATCTATCACAACAGCTCTCTTCAAAGTCATGAAATCATGCTCATTAGGTAAAATGTGAAGTGCAGCCATAGCTGGCTTGCAAGTTACATCATCTCTACTCAGCAGAGCATGATCATTTCCTTCAGGAAAACCTGAAGCAAGAAGCCCTAAAGCAGAGCAGTCACTACCCCTGCCAGTCATGAAACAGAATTGGAGTAGCAAGAATTAGCATTATGTCAGCCTGAAGAGCTGTAAATATTTACTTGAGTCCATTTCCACACACACAAAATATTGCAAATTCAGATTAAGTCCAAAATATATTCATTTACAAAACATCAATTCACTATTGACAGAGAACAAAACTCTCTTGACAGGTGTGGAAAACAAAGCCCTTGAGTTAGGACAGATACAGAGAGATGAAGGGAGTCTTGCTAATTTATGAATTAAAATCTGAGGCAGGTCAAGATAGGAGTGCTGGTTTCTTAGCCAAAGCTATACAGGTATTTTGCACAGGATTAAGAATGCTTGAAGAACACACATAATAAGGTGTGTGAAGAACACACCTTGTAATACAGAGCACCTTCTGTTCTGATAAAGGAAGCTTAGCTAAAAAGTCCCAAAAGCTAGACAAGACCCAAGTTTCTCATCAAACAATAAATGACTGCTCTAATTTCATCCACTTTATATCCTATTAGCAACAACATCCTCAATATAAAACCTTGCATCGGTGTTCTGCTATCACACAGAATGCTGAACCTCAAACCAGGATTTGCATATTCTAACACAAATTCACTTCCTGACAGTTCTATGGTGAAATTTCCTGAGGAAAGCAAAGCAGGTGGGAGGGAAACCACAGACTGTAAGTGAACACTAAGCCTTGAATCTGATTGACCAAAATATTAATTAATGGGTGAACTGGTAACTGTGCTGAGAGTGCAGCAGTGCTAGCAAATTCACACACCAAGTAAATAATTTTAAAAAAACCACCACCAACTTTTTAGCAGTTGTATCAAAATAAAATCAAAGGTGCTTACAAGTTGGTGCCCACAAGGAAAAGCAAGCTCATCTGCCCAACTCCTGCACACCCCTGGTCTAGGATGAATACTGCCTTTCCCTCTACTCTTCAGAACAGTAAAGCAACATTTTTTTAAAAGTATCCCATTTACCATGTAAGTATCAGGGACTTAAGTTAATTTGACTTCATTGTATTACATTGTATTAATTTTTTAAAATACATTGTATATAAAAGTATAATGTAAAGTCATACAAGAATATAATTTGAAATGAATTAAATATCAAGTCAACAAGAGTAACAGAAATAGTTACTTCTTCAAGAAAAGAATACATTCCATGCCCACAGTTTAGCCTACCACTGTATGCATAAGTGCCTGCATGCTTCCCCAGAACCCAAGAGATAACTTTTCCATTCATCTCACTGCAATTCAGTTCTCTGCCCACAAAAAAGTAACATCAACACATCCAAAGCTTACATGGGAAGATCAATGAATGGAGCATTAGGATAATGTTCACTGATCTCATTTAATCCCTGAGCTGTAGCAGTCTTCCTCTGAGCACGATTTTGTCAATTCCCCTGTGCACTGGTGATTTCACAGCTTATAAAACATCTATATCTCCAATGTACATCTTGCCTGCATAATTTATATTTAATGCTGGGCTGGTATTCTAAAACGCCAGAACTGTTCAATGATGTTCCCATTTAACACACTTTACATTTAAAACTAATTCCACCTACTGTACAAAAATATACCATCCACTGTAATACTGAACAGTGTTTTGACATACTAAATACCTTAATTCAATTAACCTGAAGTACTCAAACCCTTAAGAAGGTGCCTAAAATCATGACTGACTGAGTAACTAGTGTTATGTGTAATCTAAATTACTACATCTTCAGATGGCCTGATCACATGTGTTTTTCTAAAAGGTTGTAGAAGATGAATATACCACATGTCAAACATCAGAATCAAGAGAGACTCTAAGGGCAAATAGAAATCTAATTTAAAATAATTAATATTTAAATACAGCCTGGTTTATTAATTTCAGACTGCCTGATAAAACAAGAGTATTGGCTTGTAGGTTTATTTGCAAGTGTGTATATATATGTTAAAAAAAATATAAATATATATATACACACACACAATATCAATCTTCCCCAGCTGTGCCAGGTTAAGTTACACAATCCTATATTTTAAAGACAGATACATATTCACATAATATAGTCTGCATTTTACCTTTCCAGGTATGAAGCAACAGAGATTGGAATCCACATACTTCATGAAAGTCATATTTAGGAGCGAGAGTCTCGTTTCCACAGCAGCAAGGATGTCTGCATGGCGAGCTAATGAATGGTTTCTCCTTTCTGACTCCCGTCTGGAAAACAGACCACAAGGTGACACTGATTTAACAAAAAAATCCAACTGTAACATTTGTCAAGTTAATTTCACCCTTAAAACCCTGTAACCACTAACATTTGTCTTCACAGAAATAATAGATACTGACTGAGACCCAGCTAGGAACAGCATACTAAACTTTCTTAGACAAAATTTGTTCTCTAAGTAATTACTATACCTTATGTGCTCCATAAATTTTGTATGTAATTGAGGACTATAAGAACAAGGCTGCAGTTCTAACTAGCAGCAGCCACTGAGTCAGAGTGAATATATTTATCCCACTCACTCATATGGTCAGTACTTCAATGCAATTGAAATAATAATCAGTAGTGAAGTTTACATAGTGAAGAACTACTAAGAAGTTTTGGTTGAGATAGAAACACTTTTTGATAAAGGATCTCTATGCTAAGTAGCATTTAGTTTCTTCACTCTGACTGGGAAATCTGATAGGACACAGCAGCAGCTGCACTTATTCACTGGGAAGAGGAAGAAAGACATTGCTTTAGTGAGAAATCAGTTCCCAGTAATGCTCACATGTCAAATCCCTCTTCCTTGTTCCCATTTAATCCTTGCCAGTGACAAACCTTGTCCTTTTTAAGAAGCAGAATATTTGATAAAAAATCAGTGAAGGCAGTTGTTCTTGAAAAGGAATGGCATTTATTAATTCCCAGGAATCCTCCTTTGATTTGTCAGAAGAGTTGAGTAATACAGAACCCAGAGTTCTCTGTTTGAAATACCAGACACACTTCTCACACTATTCTGTAATTAAATCTTAGGTTCAAGGTGCTTTTAGGAAAAAAAAATTAAATAAAGGCAAATGTCACTGAAATTTTCAAGATATTAAGAGAATTCACCAGAAAGGAATTCCTGTTCAATAATCTGCTTAAATGAATCTAACACATTTAAATTTAATTCCAGTTTTAACTGGTACATACCTTGGAAGTTGAGCTTTAACTTGCTTTTGACACAAGTTGTGGTATCTTTCCACTTTCAGAAATCCCTGATTTAACATTCTCTGGCAAACCAAATCCATTCGCTTACAAACCTGTATTTAAGTAAAAAGAAATCTTAAGGCTCAATTAAGGCCACAACTCACTTTTACTATTATCTTATCCCTACTTGCCAGGTAGCAAAAGATTCTCTTACTGTTTTTTGCTCCATTTCAACAAGCAAAAAGTGCAGTTGAGATTACGGCATTCCCATCTCCACCAAAGATCACAATACTCCAAAAAGGAGCAGCTATGTTTCACACAGTTCACAAATAAATCTGTTGATTTTGCCTAACAAGAGACAGTAGGCTGACTGCCACCTATTAGAAGCAAATACAATTTCCTCTGATTTTAATGGAAGTTGCAAATGCCCATGCCTGGCTTTCAGCATAGCCTCCAGTGTGATTCTGGTAGATGAAATTAATAGTTTGTAGTCTCAAAAATAGAAACCTTTACAGACAAGAAATCACGGTGGTTTTCTTCCAGTGTTTAAGGCTTAAGCTTTTAAACTCAACCACAATTACATTTAAAAACACATGGAAAACATTGCACATGGAACAAGATTCTCCTTTTTGTATAAGAAAGTATCTTCTCCTCTGTTTAAAAGATTCCTTTATTTGTTGTTGGACACCAGTAGTCTCGGGGGTTTTTTGCCCCACAGATTAGGAAGAAGGGACATGAAGAGCTGCAGATAAACTGCTAAAGTTAAACCCTCACAAAGTTACCAGTTACAAAGCCAACTCATACAAAAGTTTAAAGCAATTGCTATTCAATTCTGAAGATACAAGAGCTTAGTGACCCAACTGTTCTTTGGAATAGCTTTGCTTTTGTTGGGATTTTTTAGGTACTGAAGTCCACAGTTCCCACTGTGACCCCACTTACCAATAAATAGGCTTTCTATTTTTTAATAAACACTTACCCTTTCATAACTTTAAAGTCTATGTAAGTTTATACCTTGAGGAAGAAGATTCTCACCTCTACCAGAAAAACCTGCAATTACTTTGTGTAATGCCTTCTGCATAAAAAGAAAGAAGTTCTGCTTTGTGTGCCAGGTTCTGTGAGAACTGACCACTTTCAGACAGGTCTGTATGGACAGGCCATTAAGCAGTGACTGTGGATCTGCCTGTGCTCCTCGGTATTACATTTTTCTGGTTAACAAAGAAGGATCAGACAGATAAACGGCAGAGGGAGAGTCTCAGCACACTCTGCCCCACATTCAGTGATCCAGTTAAATCGTCTCCTGTGTATAAGGAAAAATGCTGGCCCTTCCTACAGGAAGGAGGAAATTGTTCTCTCTTCCCTGAGCTCATAGCGGATTTAAATCGTTTTTGAGTCAAGGCTTTGCAGCTTCCTCGCAGCTCTAAAGGCACCGAATCTCTGAAGCAAGAACTGGGAGCTGCACAGGGCTGCGTCAGCTCTGCAGTCACCGGGCACCAGAGGCAAACATCTCCAGCCACGCTCAGCTCCGCGCTCGGAGGCGGCAGAGCGGGTTTGAACCTCGAGCACAGTGACATCTGCCGGCAGACAGGCCCCCCAGGAGCTGCAGCCACCACGCGAACCGCGCTGGGGCTTTAACCTTCCTCCTCTGCTTGCCCTACACAGCAGGAAAGATTATTTGCTCCAGTTTCTCGACATTACCCATATTTAGGCAATAATCTGTCCAGAACACAAACTCCGGGACCACCAGAAATCAAAAGTGTTTGTTTGCAGTCATGTTACCAATCATTTCATAATTCTCAGCTAGTTCATCACTTAACCACAGAGCACCTGGATTTATAGGAACAATATATCTCTTCTAGAATGCACAGTAGCATCACTACACTTTTAGGTGTCCATAGCCATCCAAGACAGTTTGATATTACGTATTCTAACAGATCATAAATTGAATTTCCTCATCCTTGTATTTGCAATTTTGGTGAATGTTTTCTTATTTTAGTCACTGAAAGAGGCTGCGTTTCCTCAAAGGTCAAGTCCAACCAGACCCTGTGTTAAAGTTTCAGGGTTAGAAAGGTATTCCAAACCAATGTAAAAAGCAGAAGGAGAGGTTGCTTCTTCATGTGCTTTTATGTGATAAAATATCACATAAAAGCTTTCTATGATCCTATAAACTAATTTTCTACTTCATTTGTAAACAAACTGACACAATCTACTAATTTCCTTAAAAAACATGTTTTATTTCTTCCAAGCTTCACTACCAGATAACCAACTCCACAACAAATACAAAATATCCTAGAGTATTTACATTCAATGTATGTTATTTTTCTTAGATGGTACACTGACACCATGGTCCATAAAATGCCTTTTTTAGGGTAAAGTAAGTGGCAAAATGCTTACAACTTCATCAAGAAACCTTAAAAGAGAAATGCCTGTAAATATAGACTGGCTGCAACTGGGAATATTAAGGCCATGCTGTCCAAAGGCTATCAGTCCTTACTTGTGCTGTGCAGGAAATAAGCACAAGTTTGCTGCAGAATCTAAGTAATTCTGACTTGTGGCAGAATCCAAGATAACGTTCTCAGAGTGTTCACGGAAGGAGGTTGTGGACTGTGTAATTTTAATCATGCTTGTTGTAGTAATAGCCTGAATGGAAGTGCCCTTCCAAGCTCAGACATGTGATTGAAAAAGAAACTGGAATCTAAGAATTTCATTATTATCGCACTGAAGTAAAAATTTCAAAGCTTCTGCAAGTCACTGAAAACATCCCTGTAAAAGGAGCCTTCAAAAGCTGCAAGATAGTGAGCTTCCATGTCAGCATGCACAGTACAGCTTCAGACATTGGCATCCTCAGGGTTTTCTGTGCTTCTCTCATGGGGATCATCTGAGGAAGCAGATGAAGTAAATACTCAGAAGGGCTGAAAGCAAAATGCTGCTGCTTTTCCTCTCATTCACTTTGTCTGAACAAAAGTTTGAGGGCTCAAGATTTCCCCCATTTCAGACATGACTGCTCTCTGAATACCTATTGTTTAGTCTCTGCTCCTTGGATCTACTTCACTGCTTAACCTGTAGGAGCTTCATTTATGCTTTCACACACAGTAACCCCAGGAATACAGAAAGCATTATGCTCAGGAAAGCAAGTGCTTTTTGCACAATGAGGGGCCCACAGCCTTGCCTTGTCTGATGGCAATCATCACAAGCAGGAAATGTTCTTTACCTCATCCTTTGGGGACGGAAAAAAAGACTTCTGGATCTTACGCTTGAGATTATGCTCCTCATTATGCTCTACATAAACAATGCACATTCCTATCTCCGTTTCAATCTGAAAACATTCTGGTGCTCTGTGTCCTCCCACCCAGCCAACTCCTCAGTCTGTTGTTTTGTATACACTTGCACATTCCTATCTCCGTTTCAATCTGAAAACATTCTGGTGCTCTATGTCCTCCCACCAGCCAACTCTCAGTCTGTTGTTTTGTATACACAGTAGATCCAAACCCAGTTCAATTCAGAGACGTTTTTTTTTAAGGCTCACTGAGCTAAGGTGATCCAAAATAAGACATTCCTTCCACGATGGGATCCAGAAAATGCATCAAAATTATTGGTTTAGGGAATCCACATTTTTTTGTCTAAACACATATGATCAAACTTTGTTTAGGTCAATTGATGTTCTGGGTTTTCCTGCCTTCCTCAAGACGCTTTATCCCATGGAATCCCACATTCTCAGGGATAATGAGGCTGCTTTTGGGCATGTTTCTAATATGCATGAGAGCTGAGCAATTTCATATCTGTCATTCAATTAATGTGCTCCTGCAATGTATCTTTAGCACAATACTACTTATTATAAGATACACTCATTCATCTTTGATAAGCAGCTCAAGTCAGTCCTCACAGAAAACAAAAATTTACTGCTTGTGCAAGGCAGCTCTTAGAGCAGGAACACGCAGGTCTTGCCAAAGGCTACCCACCACCTTTAAAAATCCCAAAGTAATGAAGTTTCATTCTGAATTTATGCCTGGGCACTACTATTTTTAAAAGTTACCTTAATTCTCTGACAAAAGCACCCGGAGCTATGAAGAACATTCAGTGTCTGCCTCTCAGTGAACTGCCAAAGAACACCTTCAGCTCTGAACAGCCACCTGAAAGACCCAGCCGATCAAGCTTATGGGCTCAAACCAGAAGGCTTTGGTTCTTTACATTACTGCCGGTTAACAAAAGGCTACTTTCTTCTCAGAAGAATGCTCATAATGCCTTCTGATGTGCTTAAGGGAACTGTTAGGAATTTGATGGAGATTAATTTTCTTGGCTGCCATTGACTCAAAAACTCAAAGTAGGGCAAGACCAACCGAATAGTTTCCTTCATTTTACGCTCAGTATTGTTCCAAGTTGGTATTTATCAAGTCTGGTTTTGCATATTTCTGAAAATTCGGAAAGGGGCAGTCCCCTTCTAGAAAAAGGAACTTGGAGGCGTGTCCCATATTACTTCCTAAGTGCCAGTGAGAGTTAAATAGCCGGTTTAGTCCTGACATCCTCACCTTTCCTACTCTCACCTTCACTGCCAACAGAGCATTACAAACACTTAGAGCTGGAGAAAGAAAAAGCCTTCTGTGGACTTGCGAGAGCTCCCACAGGCACTACCACTCTTGATACGCAAGGGGAAAGCTGCAGCCACGGGCTGTGCCTGGCGTTGCAATTCTGAGCCTGAAACGTGGCACATCCAAACACCATGTGATTTACTTCCCTTCCCAGTGGTCAAACTGCAAGTACCACCTGTGATCTTGGCCATGTCCTGTGCAGGGCCAGGAGCTGGACTTCTGTGATCCTCGTGGCTCACTCCTAACTCAGGATGTTCTGTGGTTCTCAAGTACCACATCTTTTTTACAGATCCACTACCTACTCTCACAGAAGAAGCTGAAGTCCTCAGGGGACTGACAGCACACTCTAGAAATATTTAGGAACTGGTGTGCTTGGAGCAATATAAATGAGAACAGATTTTCTGCTTGAAGAGCTTTCGGTTTATAGTTACAGTCAGGATGCAACACTTCAGGTTACTGATCCAGGACACAGGCAGTCCAATTTCCTGCAGAAATACACTTGTAATATTATCCAGTTTAGACTAATCAAGTTCTTAAAATAGGAATGGTACAGTGCATGCACGTTTACTGAGGGTTACATAAGCTGTGCATTAATTCCCTCACTATTATTCCATTTACAAACTCATAAAAGGTTCAGTAAGACAGCTTATCATAATATGACATAGTTTACATCAGGCTCCTTATGCAGGCAGTAAAATATTGATATACATTGATCTCCTCGCTGCCAGCTGCAGGGTTTTTTGGCATTATCAAGTTCAGAGGTGCAAATACTATATGTTATTAATTACACATCCACTAAGACTGGAAGAAGCAGGCAGGTTTTTTTGGTTTGGGGTTTTTTGTTTTGGTTTTTGGTTGTTTTGGTTTTTTTTACATCTCCTTTTTTGACCCACATTTCTAGACAGGGGAGGATTCTTGGAGCAGCAGGCTCACCACCTCCTACACTTGTAGGCTTAAACCCTATAAGCAAAAATAAACGCACATATGAGACACAATAGACTACCCACCCCAACCAGTCACTAGGAGAAATGAGCCGCCAGCAGCCCGGTGCTTTCTCACAGAGCGTGAAGGCAATGAAAGAAGTCAGAGACGGTAAAAAGAGCTGCAGGAATGCGTGTTTGGAAGCGCACACGGAGAGCGGAGAAGGGATAAAGCCCCATCCCACCCCACCTCATCCAGCCCCTTCCCCGGCGAGCGCAGCAGCCCGGCGGGGGGCGCCGGGGCCGCAGCCACCCCCGCACCTTGTCCTGTGCAGGCGGGCAGAGCCCGGAGGGCAGAGCCCGGTCCCGGCCGCAGCCCCGGGGCCCCCGCCCCGCCGCCTCCCCTCCGCGGCCCCTACCAAGCGCAGCTGGCTCGTCTCATCGTAGGACAGGAAGCTGAGGATGCTCTCGATAGCCACGATGGGCAGCCCCATGAGCGTGTTGCTCTGAGGCGGCGGCTCCATGGGCGCCAGCGGCTCGGCGGCCTCCGGCAGCGGGGCCGGGGAGAGCCGCGCCGAGCCCGGGGCGCCGCCTTCGCCCTCCGACACGAGCCGCTCCTCCGGCGCCGCCATCTTGCAGCCCGTCCTTCCTCCGCGGGGGGACGGTACCGCCTCTCTGTGACGCCTCTTCCGCAGCCGTCACGGCGAGCCCGCCCCGGCATTCCCGCAGGGAGTGAGGGAAATGGAACTCCCGGTGCTGCTGTGGTGCCTGAGGGTTTGGGTTGCTACCCCTGCCCGGGGAGCCGTTCGCGGGCCGGCGCCAGAGGCATGGTGTCCGACTCTTGTCGGTAGTGCCCGGAGACAGGACAAGGAGCAAGGGCTGTAGACTAAAACACGAGAAGTTCGCCAACCCGAGGAGAATTTTTTAAGCTGAGGGTGGCAGAGCAGCTGGAACAGCTGCCCCGGGAGGTCGTGGAGTCTCCCTCCCTGGAGACATTCAGACCCAGCTGGACGCGTTCCTGTGTCACCTGCTCCAGGTGACTGTGCCTTGGCAGGCGGTTGGACTGGTGATCTCCAAAGGTCCCTTCCAACCCTAATGATTCTGTGATTCCCGTGCAGGATTCCCACTCTCTCCGTGAGGAGTTTCCCTGATACCCAACCTGAACTTCCCCCGAGGCGGCTTTAGAGCATCCCCTCGTGTTCTAGGGCTGGAGGCCGGAGAGAAGGAATGAACGCCTCCCTGTCCATGCCCCCCTGTGGGAAGGAGCTCCCAAAGCTCCGTGGGTGCCGCAGCGCAGGGGTGCGGCAGTGCTCCGTCCGCACAGCACAGGGACCTACCGGGAGAATGTGCTGGGTTACCGTGGGGCACCTACACGGTGGAAAATACCTCTGTAGCTCCTAAGCGAGCCAAAACTACATCCTCGCTACAAAGTAATCCAGCCTGCTAAATTTTACCTATGGACGGGCAAGCACCCCCTTCAGAGGCTGGTGTCCAAGCTGCCCCTACTCTGGTGGCACGGGGAGCCACAGCAGCCAGAGGGCTGCAGGTCCGCTGCCAGCCTTTGGGATCAGAGCCAGCTGGCAAAACCCTCGGCAGCCCGAAAACCACTGCCTGGAACCAGCCATAACTGAGCAGGCGGAACATCCAGAATAAAGCAAACTCTGCTCCTTTATCCTGTATGTTGAGGAGGTTTCTGCATCAGATTGCTGGGACAACAAAAGGATGGGACCAAGAGCTGTTTCTAGAACATTCCCTGGTGCTTCTGAGAAGAGACACTCCTCAGTTTCACAAGCATTTTAGCCTGATAGAAGTTGGTACAGCCTTTGAAAAGTATGGTGCCAGTCTCCTCAGTGCCTTCAGCTGCTGCTGCTGCTTTGTTTCTCATCAGCAGCGTTGGGTGTCTGTGCTTGACTGGGGAGCTGGTGCTCCTGAGGACTGACTTGCCAGAGGAAATCACTGAACAAATGCCAAGAGTGATGGTAGCAACCACTTCTTTCAGTACCTGCACCAAGGTAGTACAGCTTAAAATATTACAGGACTAAAGAATTAGCTGCCTGCAGCACCTCTGTACATTTTTATTTTCAGCCATGCTTCCTCTCTTTGAAGTTTTATCCTAACCCATTTCTTTCACTCCCTCCTCTCCTCAGAAACTCATCTGCAACCTCTTTCTTAAAAAAAAAAAAAAAAACAAAAAAAAACCCCAAACCAAAAAAAAACCAACAAAACCAAAAAGAGGCATCTGGAAAAGAACTAACTTGGGAGCAGGGCAAATGCAAGGGTAAGGCTTTATGTGTGTCATCCTAATGGCACTCCAAAAATGTGTGCTGAAATTAATATTTCCTTTTTAGGAGCAGAACACTGTGTGCCTTGTATGGATCTGGAAGTGTTCTGCTCCCTCCCCTCAACTCATCAATGCTGCTATCTTGCAACAAGGGTTTTATTCTTGTGCATGGTTTCAGACCTGATGTCCTTTCACATGCACCGTCAGCAGTTTAAAACTCACTCAGGAGAATTCTTTATGAACTTGTGACTTGGCACGTGAAATTTGGGCTGGCAGTGTGTTGATGCTTTAAAAGGAAGTGGGAGTTTTCATCCTACCTAAGCATATAAGATCTCACATTGTTTCAAGAGAGTGTTTCCTTTTTTTTGGCCATATAATTTAGACAATTTCAGTTTTTTAGATACAGCTCTATGTTTAATAAATATGAACTGTATGTTTTTCATATCACCAAACAATAAATACAATGAACAATATATATTTTATGTTAACTATATACAGAGCTTAACAGTTAATAAGTCTATTTTAGTAAGTTGGGTAATTCTGCTGCCTTCCAGGTTCTGACTCATGTCTTTCCCCAGTGTATCTGGTGTCATGTTTCTGAGCATGCATCACTTTGCATTAATTTGGAAAAACACAGCTCTCACGCACTTTCACAAAACCCCCATTACAGATTCTCCAGTGGATGAACTTTTCAGTTATTTTGGGATACTGTGAAGCCAGAAAACTTGATAATACTTTCTGAAAGGGATAAAATAAAGTTATGTAGAATCTATTTGCATATCACATGTCATGTATCATCTTGAAATAGCCTGAAATTTTAAAATCTTGAAATAGCCATCATTTTTATTTAACCATGTCAGAATTATAAGCATAGTTGGATTGAATTTTTTTTTTTAACTTCTCAATGACTCACAAGAAGGTGTTAGGGGAAATGAATTTTTTCACTCCTTTCATGCAAAAATCCTCATAATATTTTGATTTATGTTTGGGGGAATGAAATTTGGATATCTCCATACTCTGGACTATATATTGTGCTCCCAACTGATTGGAGTGTAGTGTGTTCAGGCTGTGAAATTTTACTGAAATTGTGTGGAATGTTTTGATTAGGCTTTGTATGGAAGCAAACAACACCAAGAACTGTGATGAAGAGGAAGAAGCCTGGCTCAAACACAAGTCAAGTTGTATCTGTGAGATCTGAGAAAGGAGGAGAAATTAAAGAAAGGGTAAAAAGAGAGAGAGTGAGAAGCAGAAGCTAACAAGCAGACATCTGGGAGGATGGGAGTGGTGGAAAAAAATTAGCAGCGGGGGTTGGAGGTGAAGGAAAGTGTGTAAGTAGGTCAGAACTGTCATGTTGATTAGGAATATTGGAGCAAAAAGGAGTAACGTGCTCAGAAACTGATGGTAAGAGCAGAAGTTGGGTAGGAGGAGAACAGATTTGTTTTATTAAGTCACTGTAATCAATAGAAAAATAGAAAAGCCTTTCCCACACGATATGTTTTCTTCTTGGGGGCAGCAGCAGTTTGCTCACTTCATGGATATTAGGAATTTTCTAAAAGAAATGGTAAATTTGAAATCAGTCTGGTCTATTCACACAGCTGTACTTTCATTCAGGCTGCTGGACACTAAGGCAGAGTAAAGTCTTTCTTGCTTAAAGGTCTTTTTGTGAAAGGCATTAAAAATGGGAAAAAAGGTAATATTTAAATTTCCTTTGAGTGTGGTGTTAATAAACACAGAGAGCAGTGTAAATTTGAACACATTAATCTTTCACAGCTGAAGCTTTTAATCCTCTAATAGGTAAATGAGTAAATATTGTGGTATGAAGTCAGCTTCAGATATGAATGTAATCCCAGTTTAATTAAATCAATATAAATATTTAACTGGATCCTTTGCAGTTTAATCAGTTTTGGACCCAGTAGTGCTACATGTTACATAAAAATCTGGTTGAGAAACTGACTCTAAAATCTACATCCACCCCTTAATTTACTTGTAATACTGTATATTAGGTATCTGAAAGTACTCATGTGTTGACGTTGAGAGGCACAAGAATACGATGCTCCATGGGAGATGAGAGGTAGAAGCAGAAGGAAAACAAGTAGAAGACAGGAAGACAAAAAATACAGTCTCTTTAGATTTTTCTGAACTGAAAGTGTGGGGAACCAGACTAATCTTGAGTGATTTATGTAGGCCAGGCATGTTGCACTGTCAAGCTTTCATCAAATACATTTTTCTGTTTCAAATTTCAAGAAAAAACTTAAAATGTTTTCATATCCACAGGAAAAATGGCATTTGTACACACACACTGTATTAATTCTACTCTACTACTAATTAATGACAAATCAGGTAAACCGATGTACGTGGGGAATAAAAAAGACAAGGGTTCAGACAAATACTCTTTTCTATTTCCTTGTAGTCAAAATACCTCCCCCAAGGAGGGCTGCAGAATCAGCTCCTGACAGCGTGTTGCCTTGGTCAGGTTACACATCCTCCCTCACACAGCTGTACTCAGAAGTAATCTTGGTCAACAAGCTTAGATAAAAAAAAATAAGATGCTTTCATCAGATAACATGACTTTTGCTAGTTCTCTGTATTATTCTCTTGTAGGATGTTTGCTATCCCTAGGGCTCAAAATTAGTTATCACCTTGAGGAAGGGCTCAGTTTTGATGTAAGTTCCAAGGAATTCCTTTAATTTCAGTATACTAGCACATATTTACACTATGGTAAAGATAATTCAGGGGAGACATCAGTAATGTCTCTGTGTCTCAGAGATATCAGCTCAGCTTGGTGAAATACTATAGACACAACAAACTGCACAAGTACTTTTGATGTCCCCAGGTCTGCCAGGGTTATCTCAAGCAGAGTTTGATATTCTGAGGCACAGGACTATAGCTCTGTGTGAGAAAGTGCAAAGAAAATAGATAAATTAACCAAGAGAAGAGGTTTACAAAGACATGGTCTGCTCAGTCCTGCAGTCACTTTATAAAAAATATATTGTTGAGGGCCTGATCTTGAAATAATTTTGTATTTTCTGAAATCCCTCTGGTTTAATTCTCTCTTGACTCCAGAGGGACTGCTAGCATGAGCTAAGTCTGGCTTCTTGGCAGCTGAGCAGTAGGGATGAGGCAACAGTAAAATGGCAGTGCTCATTTAACTCTCCACATCCTCCAAACATCCAGCTGGGATAAAGGTCCAGAGTCACTGTGTGGCTAATCAGTGTCTTTAAGTTTCTGGTAAGGAATGGGATTTTGATCACAGAATTTCTGTTTCCAGCAGCTGACTATATTTGTGCTTAATGGGAAGGTGTTTCAGTTCCTTCCCTGTTTTTCCTCACTGGTCAGCTCCCTTATGGGGCTGGATGAGTGGCTGCAGG